ATTGGCTTATTTCACTTAGCATAATGTCCTCAAGATTTATCGACATTGTGGCATATGTCAGAATTTCCTTCCTTTCTTTTTTTCAATTTTTATTAATTTATTTTTGTTACAGATGTTTCTTCTTTTTCCCCCTAGACACCTGCCTCCCCAGAATTTCCTTCCTTTTAAAGGCTGAATAATATTCCAATGTATGTATATACCACCTTTTGTTTATGCTTTTATTGGTTGATAGACATTTGGATTGCTTCCTATTATGAATAATGCTACAGCAAACATGAATGCACAAATATCTCTTTGAGATCTTGTTTTCAATTCTTTAGGGTATGTACCCAGACTGGTTTGCTAGATCACGATAGTTCTATATATTTTTTGAGGAACCACCCTACTGGTTTTCACAGCAACTATATCATTTTACATTCCCACTAACAGTGCACAAGGGTTGCAATTTCTCTACATCCTTGCCAACAACACTAGTTTTCTTGTTTTGTTTTTTATAACAGTCAGGTGGACATGTGCCCTGACCAGGAATCAAAATAGCAACTTTTTAGTGCAAGGGATAACACTCAACCGAGCACACTGATACAACTTGCTTCTTTTTCAAGATTGCTTTGGCTATTCAGTCTCTTGAGATGCCATATGAATTTTAGAATGGATTTTTCCTTCTGCAAGAAATGCCTTTGGGATTTTGATAGGGATTACATTAAATCTGTAGATCACTTTGGGTAGTGTTAACATCTAACAATATCAAGTCTTTCAATCCATAAACGGGCTGTCTTCCATTTATTTGTATCTTGTTTAATTTCTTTCAGCAACATTTTGTAGTTTTCAGGGTACGAGTCTTTTGCCTCCTTGGTTAAGTTCATTCCTAAGTATTTTATTCTTTTTGATACTACTATATGTGAATTATTTTCTTAATTTCCTTTTCAGATTGTTCACTACTGGTATATAGAAACACAACTGACTTTTGTTTGTTAATTTTGTATTCTGCAATTTTGCTTAATTTGTTTATTAGTTCTAGGAGGAATGTGTGTCTGTGCAATTAAAGCCCTTCTTGATGCTCATCAGATTTGGCCAGAAGACTGTTTGCCCTAGATGTTTCCTTCACATTCATTCCCAGTGTTCCTTGGCTCCTTTATGTTTCAGTTATCCCTAAAAACATTAGGAGAGAGTTGCTTTACTCCAAATGCTGCCACCAGCAGAACCTCCTGGGTTGGTCTTTGGAAGGAAAGGTAGATCAGTATTTTTAGGATGTATTTGGAGGTTGGTGGTTGGTATCCCAATGCTGAAACCTTGCCCCTACACTGTTTATACAATTGTGATATCCTACATAGAGGTGAATGAGCGTGAGGAACTCAGAATTCAGAAACTTCGGCACCTCAGGAATTCCTCTGGGACATCTTGAGGCAAGACCTCTTTCCTTGAATAGCATCTTGGTGCCATTCCTGAGGAAGATGGAGTGGACTGACCCTGTACTCTCAACCTCCTCATTTGCTGTATGACCAGCTTCATGGAGATGGGACTCTTGGGCCCAAAAAACTTGGTTTGGTTTCAAAAAAGTATTTGGTAGAAGAGCAAGGAGTACACATTGGTTGCCAACAGGAAAATGCAGTTATACCATTTAATTGTGTGTCTTTCTAACTCTGTCTCAGCTCCATGTTGATGCTATCTTTCAATTCCTCCCACTTCAGGAAGGTTGAGCCTCCCTATTTAATATTCCTGTCTTTCTAGGGACCTATCCTCCCACCACCCATGGGAGGCTTTTATTCAGATATTTCTGACCTACCTCTTACAAACTCCCCCCCCCCTTTATTTATTTATTTTTTTACCAAACTGGTGGAGTTTGACCTAGGGGAAATTGAATTATCTCAGCTAAATCACATCATTATCTCTCCCTGGGGTCATTGATCCGCCCTCCAAATCTTGAGGGCTATGGATTTGGGGACTGTTCTCAGGGGTCTAGCTTATACGTCTCTTTCACCAGGTCTCTTAAGAAATGTATCCCACCATTTCAGAATCACCTAAGGTTTACAGTGACTGTGACCCAGATCATCCTCCTGCCAAACACCATTCGGTTCCCTGTAAAATGGCAGAGAATACTAGGATTCAAGGTGATACCTAGGAAACAGGCAGCACAGAGCCCAGCCTGTACCCTAGCCTCATTTCAATTTCAAATTCTATACAGCCAGTAGCCCAGAACCATAGAGCCCATGCATTGTAATGGAAATGGAAATTTGTAACTTGAGAGACTCTCACTGGAAAAGAAAGATCATAGAATTTTGTTGTCTGTGACATGACCTTGAACTGACAACCATCTGCAGAAAAAACAAGAGGAAGAGCAGATGAAAGGTCAGACTACTGTCCACACAACTCTCTTTCCTATCCTGGGGGCTCTATCTTAGCCTTGACATCTCTTTCCCTACCTAGGACTATCTGAATGCTGGTCCATGTGGCATGACTTCTTACCTAGGTACAATCACTATCTTGTAGACCCTTCCCAAGGACACAGCTGCACTATAAATTAGGGCATCATGAAGCCCCTTTAAGCCTTAGGACTGTGGAGACCCTAGGATTTTCTCCAACCCCTCCTGGGCCTTCTGCAGCCACATGGGCACACTTAAGTGTCCTAACTCAGACCAATGACACAGTCTTCTGAGGTTTGATTCCCTGACCAAATGAGGCCTGTCCTCTGATGAAAAGGCAAAGCCACCAACATTATACTGTCAAAAGATTCATGAGACCTTTCCTGTTTTCTCAGGTTCCTAAATAAGATGATCACAGATCTCTTATACATCCTCTGGAACTCTGTTCTTTGTCTTTTAGGTCAGTAGTTTTCAAAGAAGTTTCCTTGAAGCTCTGTCTAGGGGGCACTAGGGGAAGATGAAGCAAGAGGAACTCCAGCACGCGCACGCACGCACACACACACACACACACACACACACACACACACCACATATTTCTGACTTTGTTCAAGAGCACTTTTGCTTTTCTCCTATATTTTGAATTTCATCCTAATATTTTATTAGAACAATGAATTCCACAGCTTTTTTTTTTTCTTTAATCCTCACCTAAGGATATTTTTTCATTTATCTTCAGACAGAATGAGAGGGAGAGGGAGAGGGAGAGGGACACCAATGTGAGAGAGACACATCGACTGGTTGCCTCCCACGCAATTCAACCGGGGGTTGGGGACCGACCGCAATAAAGGTATGTGCCCTTGACCGGAATTGAAACTGTGACTCTTTGGTCCATGGGCCGATACTCCAACTGCTGAGCCAAACCGGCCAGGGCTCCAGTTTTTTTAAAAGGTTGAGAAACCAGTGATATGTTCCAATGGCTAACACTCCCAGAAGTGAAGCACACTCACCAAATTGTATTCTCACCGCAGAAGGTCAGCGCCTCCTCTAGAATTCTTGCCACAAGTACATTATCCATCTCTTCTCCCTCAGGATGGCTGGGCAGTAATTCTCTGGAAAAATTCTACTGAAACACATTATGCCTATCCTACATAAACTGTAACCTCACCCTCCATACAGACATGGCATTGACAGACACCTCAGGGTACCCAGGGCATCCTAGGCTGAACCCCACACCATCTGGGTGAAATATAGACACATACATAGCCTTTGTTGAAAATTCCTTCCACTGCTAACTTCAGGCAGTCTGTACTTCCTTTTGACCCTCACCAGCCATGCTCCCTTGTGCCCAGGATCTAAGGACCCCCATCGGCTTAGCCATTCTTGTTAAGGAGTAAAGGAGTTTGGGATAGGTTTTCTTGGGCTCCAGGACCTTGAAGGTAAAGCCTGGAGCCAGATTCCCATCCACTTCTTCTTTCCCAACTTGTATCACCTAGAGAAAGCCCCCATCCCAAATTCAGAGCCTTACATTGATGCAGGAAAGAGCAGGGCTTTGACAGCAGGCCCTGTGGACTGGACCTCTCTACCCCAGGCTCCTGAATAGTGCTCCTGAGGCCTGACTTGCTGGATGTGCAGTTAAGCCCTGGTCTCCAGCCCCAGCTCTCTAGCTTTCTTCAAGGGACACAGGCCCAGCATGCAGTCCCTTTCCTGGCATCTCTGCCACTCGCAGAGGAAGGGTGGACACAGAGAGGTATCAGACCTGTTCTCAGGTAGCCATCCAGGTCTATCGGCAGAACTTGTTCTCCCTGGAGAGGGATCAGGGCAGGAGAACAGGGGAAGTCAGAAAGGAGGCAGCAGGGCTCAGTGAGGGCCCTGGCAGCTCAGTGAGGGAAGGAAGTGGTGGAGGTGGGAAGTAAGGAAAGGGGTCAGGGGAAGTGGTGGAGGTGGAAGTAAGGAAAGTGTAGTGGGAAAATGCTAATGCTGGAGGCTCAGGAACCCAAGCTTTCCGCCCTCTTTAGGTCTTTGGGGGCACCCAAATTGAGTTTAGTGCTGGGGTTGGGGAGTCATCATTCCAGAGCTCAGTGTCTGGGAATGAAGCACTATGACCAGACAACTGCTTCTGGTGCTTTTTGACCCAGAACCCTCAATCTGAGCAGGAAGGGACATTGATTCTACCCACTGCCATCAGGCTAACCCACAAGGGTATATTTCTCTTCTCCAGACCCAGTCTGAATACAAAGGCCTTCTCTGAGGCCCTGCTCCCTTAACAGGGCTGAAGTGATCCAAAATAGCCTTTCCCAAACTTTAAGAACAGAAAGGTCATATATAAAACATGCATACAGGGCTCTAACCCAACCAAAGATATCAACTGAATCAATTTCCACAAGAGCAACACTGAGTCTTTCTGGGTTTTGTCAGGAACCAAGGTTTCCTGATGGAAATCTGGGTTGAATTTGTTTCCTCCATATCTATCTGTAGGTCATCCTGCCCCTCAAAGAAACCCAGCCTTTTAGCCCCAGGACCTTCTCATCCCCTACATCTCTTCTGAGTTAGGCTGTAGATGGCTCCCTTTCTAAGTTCCTCTGGCTACTCTGGGGAGTCCAGGAAGACTTGGGGTCCCTAAATCACTCCTGGATTTGTCCCCAGAGGACCGAAAGCTGTTTGTGGGGATGCTGGGGAAGCAGCAGGGTGAGGAGGACGTCAGACGCCTGTTCCAGCCCTTTGGCCATATTGAGGAGTGCACTGTCTTGCGAGGCCCGGATGGCACCAGTAAAGGTGACTTGAGCTACCCTGGGATTTCCTGGTGAATCTGCCTCTCTCTGGGCCACATGACCCTTTGGCCCCTGTGGCCTGAGCTACCCAATCCCTCTATCCTGCCCCAGGCTGTGCCTTTGTGAAGTTTGGGAGTCAGGGGGAAGCTCAGGCGGCCATCCAGAGTCTGCACGGCAGCCGGACCATGGCGGTGAGGGCGGGCAAAGGGGCCGAGGGTGAGACCAGTGGGGTGGGGACGGGCTCCTCCTCCCCACTTACCGTCAGTGCCCTAGGAAAGGGCCTGATGCTCAAGGCACTCAGCCCAGGTCCAAGACTGGAGTCTGGACCGGTCACCGCGGCTTCTCCTGCCCTACTCAGGGTGCCTCATCCAGCCTCGTGGTCAAGCTGGCTGACACAGACCGGGAGCGCGCGCTGCGTCGGATGCAGCAGATGGCGGGCCAGCTCGGCGCCTTCCACCCCGCGCCGCTGCCTCTTGGGGCCTACGGAGCCTACACCACGGCGGTGGGTGCCCGGCCCCTGGAAGGCGCGGCGGACTGGCGGCGGGTGGGCCAGGCCGTGGGCCAGGCCGGGGTCGGGAGCTGGGGCAGCTGTCCGCCGCTGGGCCATCCATGGCTGCCCTTCTTCCCTCCCAAAGATCCTGCAGCACCAAGCGGCCCTGCTGGCGGCGGCACAGGGCCCAGGTCTAGGCCCTGTGGCCGCAGTGGCCGCTCAGATGCAACACGTGGCGGCCTTCAGCCTAGTAGCCGCGCCGCTGCTACCGGCGGCAGGTAGAGAGCAGGGGGCGGGGCCGCGGCGGGGAGGGGCAAGGTGGGGCGGGGAGGGGCAAGGTGGGGCGGGGAGGGGCAAGGTGGGGCGGGGAGGGGCAAGGTGGGGCGGGGAGGGAGACTGTGGCCTAAATCTGCCACCTCTTCCCCACCTGTAGCGAACTCCCCTCCCGGCGGCAGCCCGGGCACAATTTCGGGTCTCCCGGCACCCATCGGAGTCAATGGATTCGGCCCCCTAACTCCTCAGACCAGCGGGCAGCCGGGCTCCGACGCCCTCTACAATAATGGGCTGTCCCCTTACCCAGGTGGGCCCCCCCGCTCCGCCAACATCTCCCCGAAATGGAGTGGGGAGCGGGGGAAGCGGGGGGGGGGGGATTTCTTCTCTTTCCATGTTGCCTTTGACTCGACCCTGCCCACCAGCGGCCTTCATTGTGGCCTTTGCACCTCTTTCTCCCCAGCCCAGAGCCCCGGCTTGGCTGACCCCCTGCAGCAGGCCTACGCTGGAATGCACCAATATGCAGGTTTCACTGGACTCTACGCAGCCTGGGAGGGTTTGAAGGGTCCCAGAAAGGAATAGGGAAATGAGGGCGGGGGTGATCTTTTATAAGGAGGCAACCTTCCCATCCCCCAACCCCTGAGCCCAGAACCACCTCTCTAAGGGTGAGGGTTACCGTGAACTGGGCTGAACTGGTCAGTGGTGGCCAGGCAGATGTGGCCTTGCTTGAGGGGCTCCTGGGGTTCACTGCCCACTCCCACCTCTGTCTCCAGCAGCCTACCCGTCGGCCTATGCCCCAGTGAGCACAGCTTTCCCCCAGCAGCCTTCAGCCCTGCCCCAGCAACAAAGAGAAGGTGAGGGAAAGGGCTGGAGATCAGGGCCTGGTGGGGCTGGACTCAGGGTCCCTCTCCTGAACCAACTGCTACTGTTCCTGCAGGCCCTGAAGGCTGTAACCTGTTCATCTATCACCTGCCTCAGGAGTTTGGTGATGCAGAACTCATACAGACATTTCTGCCCTTTGGAGCTGTTGTCTCTGCCAAAGTCTTTGTGGATCGAGCCACCAATCAGAGCAAGTGTTTCGGTAAGCTGAGCCCTATCCCTGGGCCTCTCCCACTTCCAACTCTTACAGACCCTAAGATTATTCCTCCATAAGTCAATGATTCCCAAAGACTGAGCATATAGCACAAAGCAGGGTCACAGACCAGTGTGGGGCTAAGCCCAGACCAGCAACAAGTCTAGTTCAGGATTGTCTGGGAAGGTCAGGTATCTGGAAGATGTTTGACCAGGTCAGGCTTTAGAGTCTAGCCAAGACAGGTGGTGTCTGGGCCTGGGACCAGAGATCCCTTCCAACTCCAACTGCACTTCAGAGGACCAGAACGGGGGCTATGGAGGGAGAGAGTCAACCCATGCTAGGGAAAGACCAGGAGACACCCCAACCAACACACACACACTCCGAATTGCTTCCTGTTTTTCCAAGACTGACGCTTTTATATTATTCAGGCCATTTGCCCATGTAAGTATAAGTGTGTGTGTACGTGTACGTACCAACATTGGAGGGTGGATGGGGTAGATGTTTGATGTAACTGGTCTGAAGGGCAGGGAGAAGAAGTGGCTGGTCAGAGAGAAAGGAGGCCCTGCCAGGCAGAGTTCCCAGCTAACCTCTGTGCCCAAACCCCCAGGGTTTGTTAGCTTTGACAATCCAACCAGTGCCCAGACAGCTATTCAGGCCATGAATGGCTTTCAAATTGGCATGAAGAGGCTCAAGGTCCAGCTAAAGAGGCCCAAGGATGCCAACAGGCCTTACTGATCTGCTCTCACTGACCAGCCACAGAAAGGTGAGTCCTTGGTGGACCCCAGGCAGATGGGGTCTGAGTAATGGAGGCCCTCTCAGTTTTTTGTTCTTTTTGGGATGTTGGGGCATACATCTCTGAAAAAGTCTGGGAGAGAAGAGCAAGGAGTTAAGGGGAATCCTTCATTGGAGACTATGTTTTTCCTTCAATTCAAGGACTGAGAAAAATTAGACAGTATTCCTGCCCCATGGTCGAGGAGAGACAATTAACAGCAAGATTCCATCAGTTACTTCTACTCTGGAGATAGCCACAGGGGGCGATGGGAGTAGAGAACTCATGTTGAAGAAGGGCAGGGGGATGGAGAACGAGACTAGAAAAGTAGGTTTGGACAAGCCTGTGAAGGGTCTTAAAGGCCATGAGTTTGAACTTTATCCTGAAGATGGTACAGAACCATGAGGAATTTAAGCAAAGTAGGAACATGATTAAGGGCTGGGGAAATGGCAGTTAACATAGAGACAAGGAGAGAAGCAAGTACACTGAACAAGCAGGACCTACAGGGCCTGGTGGGTGATGGGGAGGAAGATGGCAGGCTCTGTTAGGTTTGTGGCAGGGCTAGCTGCCTGCAACTTTTAGAGATTCACTACCTCAGAAGTTCCCCATGCCTCACTTGAGCTACCCCAGGGAGTCCTATGGGGCGGGTGCTGGGCTAAGGCCCTGCTGTAGCTCTGCTCCTCTGGAAGAAAGGCCCAGGCACTCCCCTAAGATATAGCTGACAGGGCAAGCTGCTCTTCTTGTCTTGCCCTCCAGACTGATTTTTGCCTCTCACCCCCTACCCCCCACCCTTTATCAATTAATACCAACAACAGATACCGAAGAGTGAGAAGAAAAGAGAGGAGAAGCACAGAAGCGCTTAAGCAGCCCTTCATGAAGGAGCAGCCACAGACGGAGGTGGATTGGACCCAAGGCCAGAGCCTGGGGCTCAGGCCACTTTAAGGATTGTCTTCATCAAGTGGGTTGTTCTATGACTGTGGCGTAAAGTTCAGGCTGGCAAAGCAGCTGGGGCTGCCTGAAGATGGACTGTCGAGGGGAACCAGCAGAGGGCCTTGGGGGTGCCAAGGGCTTCTCCGCAAGGGAAGCCCAGATTTACTTCATTCAAAATCATATCATTCTTTAGAGTTTAGGGACCAAAGGACTATTGCTTTTTAAAGAATATATATATATATATATATATATATATATATATATACACACACACACACACACACACACACACACACACATACATATATATATTATTTATACACACACAAGGGAAAAAACACACATGAGAAACACAAAAGACAGTATAGAGTCTCATAAAAGCTGCCTTTAAATATCCCTAGGAGACAGGGTGAAGGAGACCTTTAAAAGCCCCAGTCTAGTCAGAGGGAGGATGTGGAAAGAGTGTTCTGTGTCTCATATTCTCTTAAATCATTTCCCCACCCTGCCTTTTTCAAATAAATGAGTTGAGATCTCGGCTCAGATGCAGGTAACAAGAGAAGTTCTGGAAGCAATGAACTCACAATCCTCAAACACAGAGAGCATACTGAAGAGGCCTCAGGAGGAACCACCCGCAGAGGCCCCCTAGGCACCAAGAGTGGGAACCTGCCTTTCTTTCCTGACAGCCTTGCCTGTGAAACCACTACTTTCCCAGGCAGGAAGAAAGAGGGAGTTTGGGCCACCCTAGCCTTTCCCTTTCCCCTCCAGATAGACAGAGGCCCTGCCTTTGGCTGAGCCAAGACACCTCCTGTGTGCCCTCACCTTGAGCCTGCCCCAGTACCCCCTTGCTCCAGACCACCTTCTGTTTCTAAGTATGCCCACCTGTAAAGTAGATTCAGGATACCTGTAGAGGGCTGTGACAACAGACTTAGAAGGTTTGCTACTGTATATACTGCCATTGAGAAGGGAATAATTTTCAGTATGTAGAAGCTTCAGAATTTAGAGGTCCCTCTTTACCCAGGACCTGGGAGAGAAGTAGATGTTTTGCCAAAATACTTCTTCATTCCTTTAAAAAGTACATCTTATGCAAAAGTGTCTCATGTGCTTATCCAGGGTGCTTCTAGGTGGAGAGCAGTATTCAGCTTAGAAGTGGTACGTGCTCTGTCTGTCTGTCTGTCTGTTGTATATAGTGGGTGCCATATAAAGCTGATCAATGGTGGTACTTTCTGCCTACGTTTGTGAGACGGACAGAAGATTTCAGCTTAAAACACTATGGTTCACCTTGCCTTTGTCAGCCTTTTCTGGGCCTGCAAGGACTTAAGCATATTTTTCTCAGAAGGATAATTTCCTCTCCACCCCATAGACATGAATCAAACTGGTGTGTGGCCCCAGCTGTGTGGTGGGCGCTCTGATCCCCAGATGGAGACTGAAGGCCTCTGATTTGATAGCACATCAGAGAGTAAAGGATGTGAGGGTGGGGTCAGAGGGTTCCTCTCCTTCATAAGTTTCTAAGAAAACTTATTCCTACCTGTTCCTCTGTCTTTGACTCATTTTTGGAGGGAATGGGATGAAAAATAGATCTGGTAATAACATTTTCAGGTAAGATGTGGTATATATCAACTAATAATTTCCAGCTGAGAAAGGAACCAGTGTCAAGGGCATCTGTACATCAGCATAATGCTGACATGTAGATTGACCACCATGGACACTGATGGAGATAGGTAGCATCTGCACATTCAGACAGATGTTCACATAGAGGTATAGAGGCCCTCTTAGTACTAGGTGCTAAGCACTGTGCTAGGAAGTGGGGCTCGGGCATATTCTAAGTGCTCAAAGTTAGATGGAAAGAGAATGATAATGCAATTATAGTGGAGGGCCACACAGGGTCTGTGAGAAGAAGAATACCTAATTACTTGATTGGTAATTTTGGCTTGGAGATCAGAAAAAGATTTCCTGAAGTAGGTGAAAGTAGGGAAGGGGTCTTTGAGGATGAACTGGGACCTTTGAACAAAGACATTTGGACAGCTGCATCATTTTGATAAATTATCTTTATTACCAAGAAATAGTCATGATTACCATTTATTCAGTGCTTATTATGTGGCAGACAGTGGGCGCCAGGATTCTTTTCCCATTCCTAACTCTACCCTGAACCTTAACGCATTACAAAGTCATGTTAAGAGATTTGAACCAAATAGCATTTAAAAGTTATTTTGCTTCAGCCCTTGCCAGTTGCTCAGTGGTTAGAGCATCGGCCCGTGGACTGAAGGGTTGCAGGTTTGATTCTCAGTCAAAGGCACGTACCTGGGTAGCAGGTTCGATCCCCGGCCCTGATCAGAGTTGTACAGGAGGCAACCAATAGATGTGTGTCTCTCACATCCATGTTTCTCCCTCCCTCCCTCCCACTCTATCTGGGGAAAAGAAAAAATATACTCAGGTGAGGATTAAAAACAACAAAAAGTATTTTGCTTCATAGTTAGGGACTAGCAGATTGAGTGCCAATGCTGCAGGGATTGGCAGGGTCTAGATCAAGGGTCAGCAAGCCTGTGGGCAAATCTGTCCTGAAGCTTGTAGTGTGGCCTACAAACTATGAACAGTTTTTACATTTTTAAAGGATTGTAATAAGAAAAAATATATATATATGAGACAGAGACTGTATGTGGCCCACAAACCCTAAAATATCTGATCTTTTTTATAAAGTTTGCTGACCCCATAAGATCATGGAAGACTTGTATAATGCCTAATGAGTTTGAACAACATAGTGTTTATGTCTCTGTTGTGTATGCATTTAGTAGTCAACCCTTTCAGCTGGAGGTGTCAAAAATCCAACTCAAGCCCTGGCTGATTTGACTGAGTGGTAGAGTGTCAGCCTGCATACCAATGAGTCACGGGTTCGATTCCAGTCAAGGGTATGTACTTCAGTTGCGGTTTGTGCCCAGCCCTGGTCGGAGTCGTGTGGGAGGCAACCAGTTGATGTGTCTCTCCCACATTGATATTTCTCTCTCTCCCCCGCCCCTTTCTCTCTCTTCCACTCTATCTGAAGATAAATAGAAAAATATCCTTGGGTGAGGATTTAAAAAAAAAAAAAAATATATATATATATATATATTTAAAAAAAAACCAACTCAAACATGTTTAAGCCAATAGGAAATTAATTGGCTTACATAATTGGTAAATCTAAGGATATATCTGCCTTCAGGCATGGCTGGATCTAGGAGTTCAAATAATGATGTCTTCTTTTCTTGGCTTGGCCTCACTAGTTCCAGGTCTAAAGTCCTAGGGAGAACTTTGGCCAGAATGGACATGTGCCCACCTCTAGGGTGGAAGAGTAGGCCACCATAATTGACAACTATACCAGGACTGTGTGGAGAGGAAGAATGGGTCCCCAAAGGAAGGGATGATGAACAGATAAGCAATATGCATCTAGTACATTCCACCTCTTTATTGCTCAGCATCCACCTATATTTTTCTTGACAAACATATACTTTCAAAAGTGTGCCTGCTGTCCTGACCGGTTTGGCTCAGCGATTAGAATGTTGGCCCGCAGACACGAGTTCAATTCTGGTCAAGGGCACACACCTCGGTTGCAGTTAGTCCCCAGCCTTGGTCATGCAGGAGACAGCCAGTCGATGTGTCTCTCACATCGATGTCTGTGTCTCTCCCCTTCCCTCCCACTCTATCTGAAGATAAATCGAAAAATATCCTCAGGTGAGGATAAAAAAAAAAAAAGTGTGCCTGCCTGGCAATGCAATGATTCTAGGCCCAACGAAAAAACACGCCCACTTCTGAATGGAAGACAAAACAGGATCATGTCCAGTTGCTTTATTAAACCATCAGTTGGGTCCCTTTGTAATGTGAGAATTAGGTCTGGATATAACTTCTCATGAGTTTGCAATCCATGGCTAAAATATAAATTTAGCTACCCCAATATGAAATAGTGGAGGAAAATGGGATAACTAGTTTTTTCAAAGAAAAACACACCTTCCACTTGGAATAGGGAGAAGAGAAAACAATGGTCACTAATCTGTAGCATATAGCACAT